AAAATCTTGCACGTGCTGTTCAGGCAATTACTCTTGGTATTGAAAAAGAGGAGTACCACAAAGCTTTTGAGGATTGGTGGAAAAGGCTACAACTTTGCATAGATAAAGATGGTCACTACTTTGAAGGAATGAAATAAATTTTTTTAAAAGTTGTAATAAAGTTTTTGAAATAAAGCTATTTTCTCATTACTTTTCAGCCACCCCACGTATTTTAGACTGGCCAGCACAGTCGCCTGATTTAAACCCCATTGAACATTTATGGAATGAAATTGACCGTCGTTTGCAACAACTTCCTGGTACTATTAGTAGTCATGAAGATTTGTGGAATAAAATACAAATGATATGGAATCAGATTGATGTTGATTTCTGTTTAAAATTAATTGATACTATGCCACAAAGAATAGCAGATGTTCTCAAAGCTAGTGGAGGATACACAAAGTGGTAACTGTTATGTAGTCAAGTTTTGGATAATATTTAGTTAGAAATATGTCAAGAAATTTATGCAAGAATTTTATTTTTGTTATGTGCCAAAAGTATTGCACCACGAAATTTTTATTCATTTGAGGTTTTTTTTAAAAAATGCAAATTGAACTACAATAAAGTTTGGTTATAATATAGTTAAAACTAATGTATTTTAAATGAGTCTAAATACATGTATTGATTATCTGTAGTTAATGAGATATTCCCGTCTAATAATTTTAAATCAAGTGGTGCAATAATTATGGAAGTCACTGTATATATGTATATATTAATATATATATATATAAAACAAACAAAAAATTTCAATTTTTACTTGTCAACAATTTTTACTTTTGTCAACACTTTTTACTTTTGTCAACACTTTTTACTTTTGTCAAATCGTCAAAATGGCCCTTGGTGAGAAACCACCTTTAGTCAGTACTTTCGTCACGTCAATGACTAAAGTCAAAAGTTTCGTCATACATCATTAGCTGGTGGTGGCTTATACTCTGCAATAAAAGCAGATCATATGACTATTTTAGAAATAGATTGTTGCTTTAAACAACTTATAATGGGAGTTAATTATCTTCATTCAATGAGAGTTGCTCATAGGTATCCTTTATTATTAAAATCTATTTAATTGATTGACTGAAACATTTTACCATGTATTTGTGTTAAATAAATACTTATGAATTACAATTCTTTTTTTATGTAGAGACATAAAACCTAAAAATTTATTGTTGGATGTAAAAGGAAATTTAAAAATTACAAATTTTGGTGTATCTTATGTTTTTAGGACATGCTGGGAAGAATCAATCCATAAATTTAAAGGTTTATGTGGATCTGAACCATATATTGCTCCTGTAAGTAATCTTTATAAGATTTTTATATTTATTATTATTTTTATATATTTATAATAATAATTCTTATTATTACAGGAACAATTTGAAACCAAAGAATATGATGCTTGTTTAGTAGATATATGGGTATGTGGAATTGTATATTATTTGTATAAAGGTATTCCATTCAGAATGGCATCATCAACAGATCTGAATTATTTAGATTATTTGGAAGCAAAAAGTACTGGGTTGTATGAACCATTTGAAAGATTACCACATGGCTGTCGAGATTTAATGTATCGTATACTTGAACCAGATGTTAAGAAGCGTGTAACCACTGAAGATATAAAAAATGATAAAAAATGGTTTCAATCAATTGAATCCTGTGTTGAATTAACATCATCATCATCTGATGATAATAATAATTGCTCTTTAAAAAAAAATCATTATCATATTCCACCAGTAGAAACATAATCTAATAGATTATGTTTCTACTTAGCTAGGTTATGTATCTACTATAAGGGGTGTGTCATAAAACTCAAGTCATTCGAGTGATGGGTCGATTGCAAAATTCAAGTCATTTGAGTGATGGGTGTGTCATAAAACTCAAGTCATTCGAGTGATGGGTCGATTTCAAAATTCAAGTCATTCGAGTGATGGGTGTGTCATAAAACTCAAAGTCATTCGAGTGATGGGTCGATTGCAAAATTCAAGTCATTCGAGTGATGGGTGTGTCATAAAACTCAAAGTCATTCGAGTGATGGGTCGATTGCAAAATTCAAGTCATTCGAGTGACGGCTCAATCGCAAAACTCAAGTCATTCGGGTTACGATTGATTCACGAGTTCAACGTCATTTGGATGACGATTGATCGAAAAAATCTGTCTCCGCGATTTCAGTATCCGCCATGTAGCATTTGTGTCCATCGTCCACACGTGTGGACGGTCATCTATAAGTAGCACTCCAGGGAAATACTTATTTTGGCCTTGTATCTTGAATTCGAATGCCAGGTTTGAGGCACGTAGTGCCGAATTGCTAACTGTTATAATTCATTCGAATATCACCCGATGATGAGGCACGTAGTGCCGAATTGTTAGCAGTTGTTAGCTTCATATAATTCATTCGAACATCAATTAAGGATGAGGCAGGTAGTGCCAAATTGTTAACTGTTATAATGCATTCGAATATCAATCGAGGATGAGGCACGTAGTGCCGAATTGTTAGCAGTTATTTTGTGTCCGTCAAAAGCATAATTTTTTATAATATATATATCTGTAATAATTTTACTTTTGGCGGACACCGCTAGTATACTATGTTTTGCGATCCTAGAACTCTTTCTTGCATAGTTAATACTTTTGGCAGACACCAATTTTTTATAATATATATATATCTGTAATAATTTTACTTTTGACGTACTACCGCGAGTACGCTATGTTTTGGATCCCTAGAAAGCTTTCTCGCATAGTTGATGCTTTGAATACTACCACTTTATGTAAAAAATTGACCTATGCTTTGTCGTTTTACTATCAAAAAATTGGATCATACTTTTACGTACTACCGAATCAAAAATTTTGTTTACCGCCAGTAGTACGCCAAAGTATAATTTTTATATATTAATATTTTTCTGTAGTAATTATACCTTGACATACTACCACGAGTACGCTATGTTTTACGCCTCTGGAAGCCTTTCTCGTATGGTTGATGCTTTGACGTCCTACCAATTTGAAAAATTTTGGTCTTTTACGTATCACTTTATATACTACCGATTTTTACCTCTTTCCTGAAAAACTTCTCTCTTTGACGTACTACCGAAAAAAACACCTTGGTGTGCTACCACTTCATGTCAAAAAGTTGGTTCATACTTTGGCGTACTACCGGGTTGAAAAATTGGCTCATACTTTTGCGTATTATTGGATTAAAAAATTGGATCATACTTTGACGGATCATACTTTTGCGTATCACTATAAAAATGTCACGATCGGATTATTACTTTGGATCAAAAAATTGGATCATACTTTGGCGTACTACCTTTACGTATTACTGGATTAAAAAATTGGATCATACTTTGACGTATTACCTTTACGTATTACTGGATCGAAAATTTTATTCTTACTTTTGCGTACTACCGAAAAATTTCACGCTTTTGTGTATTACCACATCGAAAAATCAATTAAAAAATCCACAAGTTTTAATAAATTCACAATAAAAATGTATTCATATAATCCATTTCTGCTTCCAGATACAATTGCAATAATCGTTCAAAAACTCCCATTGGTTAGTCTTAGTATAGCTTTATGGATTAACCATACTTGGTATAAGGAAGTGAAACATGAATTGCATATGAGGCGCGAAAAGTTTAAAAACCAATATTGGAAAACAGTGTCAGTAAGATATATGGAGATACAGCTTAAAGAACAATGTTGGGAAGAAGAGGGTAGGCAATTTAGCGACTGCATGGATACTGATGACTATGAAAAACACATCGAAAGAATGAGATTTTTAGATGGGGAATGTCATAAATTCTACTACGAACTAGTAGAGGTAGAAAAATGCATGTTACAAAATAAATTAATCGGAAAAAGAGAAAGAGGCGATTTATTAAATCGTATTAATCATGTTAATAAGAATATGTGGTTGCATCCCTGGTCGGAATATGAAATAGAAGAAATGATTAATCCTATAGATTATGAACTTAATATACTTTTCGATACTTAAATCAAAACTTTTTAGATTCAAATAGGTAATAAATTCTCAGCTACTCGATCCACGTATAATCCCGGTTTCGCTTTTTTTATTCAAAAAATTTATCGCACTTTTGTGTACTACCAATTCGAAAAATTTATTCTTACTTTTGTGTACTACCACATTGAAAAATTTACTTATATAAAAGCACATTTTGAGTAGACTCTTTTTTCCTTGCATCTCATATAGGCTTAATTACCATGAACCATATAACTGCAAGTATCAAAAAAGCAAGAATCGCATACATAAACATAGGCGAAAACAAATTACTGGTCATGATAGGTACTGCCCCAACAGGCAATATCTCGGTCATTTCTATTCACGAGACATCCAGAAAGAAAAGAAAATTCCAAGAAAAAGAAGATACTTGTCAAGGCAAGCCTAGGGGCACAAAAACACGAAAGAGTTATCCATCATTCCAATCTCCGATGAACCGTTAATCAACACATCTTCCGAAGATGCCAATATGGAAGACATATCTAATCAATTTCATAAATTGTATTTTGATATTGACGTAGTTAAGTTAAAGAAAAACTTTTGAAAGATCTCAGTCAGGCTATTGTACACAAAAGAACGATAAGATCTGGCAGGTTAAATCCTTTACTTCATCTAGTTTTTCAGATTTGACAAGAAATGAGGTTAAGTATATCATGGAAAACTTCCCATCCCATGAATAGAATATTTGACACTCACCTTCGCTTTACTGTATAATTTTTTAATAAATATATCATATATAATCAACATGTAGATCCACTGTGTATGTCATATGATATCGTTCTGGCCCAGAACACCTGCTATTCATAAATAATAATAATAAGTTCACATATCTATATTTTTTGCTTGATTAAACATAATTATCCAGATCCATACTGACATCTGTATCTTTGAGGAGCATTCTAACTTCTTTGATATAGTCTCATCAATATACCCCATCCTCTTTAGATATAATAGCATTGCCACTCACGGAGTGAGGCTACTCTGTAGCTAAATTTTGGAACTCGCACAATTTTTTGTTGCGTGAGATCTGAGCATGTCAATTCCATAGATTCAAGTCTTTCATTTTAATCCATAACCTTGATCTTCTGCAACATGTATACAATATAGTACTTACCTCCTATGTATTCTTTGACCATTTTCTTCACAAAAATCAGAGGGAAATCCGTAAATATATTCTACAGGATCTTTCTTAAACACAGGCATGAAATAGTTGATGTAAAGAAATTTGTTTGCACAGCCCCATTAATGTATGATGTTGTTGTCACACAACAGATTTTCCCGATTAGATTAATATTAATATTAACTACCAATTTACCTGTAAAAGAAACGCCATGGCCACTCCCACTACAATAACAGAAAAAGATGTTCTCCCACTACCTGACGAAATTAAAGAGATGAAGAAGAGTGAACTTATTGAATTTTTACGAAGACAGGAAGAGCTAGAACTCGACGAGGAGGAACTTGAAATACTTGAAAAAGAAAAGGTTACTGGTCGACACTTTCTCCTTCTGACTAAAAAAGATCTTCTAAAAGTGTTTAATCTAGGAACAGCCGTAACAATTGCAGACTTTATTGATGAACTCAAAAAACGTAAGTGTATTTTAAATTCTGGGTGCAGATCTTCACAGATATATAAATTTTACTAAAGGGTTGATGTAGCTAGATCTACCGGGCTTGTACATGTGTTTGTTGACAATTCCAATCTCTTTATTGAGGGAAAATTTAATATTGGCCAACTTGAGTGTATTTTTGATGTAGAAAAAAATTTGTACCATATTAATCAGCTTCATATCAAATACGGACAACTTCTTGCATTAGTTCAAGATGGATGTGGCCTTGGTGGTGCACCTGTTCTCGTTGGTTCTCGTCCGCCCCCAAATGACTCACTATGGAAACACATTCGAAAACAAGGATATGATGTAACAGTGCATGCTCGGAATGCTGAAAACCGTGAGAAGAAGGTTGATGTGGAAATTAGTGTCTCCATAATGGATACCATTCAAAATTATAATCCTGGTATATTAGTGCTAATTGCTGGTGATGGCGACTATATGTTCCAGCAATAAATCAAGTTTTGAATAAAGGGTGGGCAGTTGAGATATGGTTCTGGAGTTCTGGTATGGAAATATTGTTGTGTTTGAAGTCACATGGGTTGTCCAAGTGCATACTCAAAATAACTTGCCTTTAGGAATTTCTAATGACCTTAAATCAAAAGTGCTTTTCAAACCTTTGGATATTTGTTATAAGTATTTCTCATGTGGCTACGGACCTGAACCTACTGGGAAAAAACAAGTTCTTGAAATCACTGATGGTGATACAATTCAGGATTGGAGGGACAAAGAGGTGATGGAGTGTTTTACAGCTTTGAACTTATTCTGTTGGTGGAACCGGTTAGATGAAACCTTGTGTTTATATTTTGATAATCAGGGGCAGTTGGAGAGGGCAAAGCATTGGATGGAGGTTAACTATCCTGACATACGTGTTTGGGAGAAAAAAGAAATAAAAAGAAGAAGTTGGGCATATTAGGCTTTATAATTCCAGCCGTAAAACAATTAGTTGGGAATGTTGTCGCAATATAAATTTTTGCATGTATTCTCTTCATGTGCAGTTCTAATATTTACACATGATGTCATTGCTTTATTAATAAATAAAAATATATACTCCACAGGGCAAATTACATCAAGTACATAATGATATTTTTTTACATGTGTTGGGATTGTTGTGGGATTTCACTATATAATAAAATTAATTATTCCTGAAAATTATATATAAAAAATCAACAATTATTATTAAAATAAATATAGGGTTTTATCATTGTCCTTATATTCATAGAACTGGTAAAGTTTGTGATCGAGGTAGCTATCGTCCAGAAGGGTGTAAACTTCATTGGAATTCTCCGACATGGATCCCTTGCAAAGAATGTGGTAAGCTGACTTATTCTACATACATATGTATAGCATGTAAAAATCATGTGAGTATCAAAAAAGAGAGTATTATCATAAGCAAAAAGCTGAATTACGTGCAAATATTGATATGCTTGAGAATTGTGTACTGGACTTGCCAGGTTCTAGGCACGAACTATAGTCTAGGTTTATTACTTTTTCATCCATGGATAAGGCAGTCATATCTCCTGAGATCTATAAATGAAGGATCGGGTAATTAATTTCAATTTGAAAGAATAAGTAGGTCAATAGATAATCACAATCTACTTGTCAAATATATTATCAATATGATCATGGCAACTGCTTCAAAAACCCGAAAGCCCAGAACTAATAACTTTACCTTGATTTTGGACCTGTTCCAAGAAAAATATAACTTGTCTGCCGAATCCAACCCATCTCAATTACATGACTATGCCAGTGAACTCGGTGCTATGCTTCCAAATTGGAAAGCCTGCAAAAGTGTAAAAGAAGCTCTTCGCCGACACTCATTCAAAGAAGACCAGATCAAGGCTCTTGTACCAGATAAAAGGAATGAAAAACTTACTATCAAAGAGAGAGCTCAATACTGTGCAAAAACTGGATATCCATATGATATTTACTTACATGCTTTAGATTTAATCAAGACAAAAAATGATAGTGATGAAGAAATTGTCGCATCCAGCTCACGTCTTACATTATTTCGTAAGGAATTGAAAAAAGCTGGAGTTGATTCTAAAGTAATTGATAAATATGCTAAATTTTCAGATCTTACTCAAGCATCTAACAAAATTCAGGAAGAACTTGGTATTGTTGGTTATACTAATCAAGAAATAGCAGAAGAAGCTGATAAAAATGCAAGAGTGTACCTCTGGAAGTTTGAGAAATTTCACGGCCCCTTAGAAGATGTTCCAAGTGTGTTAATACAGAAATTCATCGATAGTGGGGTAAAGAAATTTTGGTTTACTGATGAGGGGCTACCATTATTTCCAAATGTCTCTCCTCAACAATTGCATGAAATTTTTGTCAAAAAAATGGCTAGCGTTAATCAGTGCCTGTGTCTAGAATCAAAAGTAGGTTCGGAGAACCATTGCTTTGCAATAAAGCAAGGAAAATTATCACAGATATATATAGCATCCTTGATCAATGGCTCTAGCAAGACTATTTAATATATTATCTCGTTCTAGATTAATTGAATTTGATGATGCTTCGATATAATTACTGAATGCAGAATAAAAATCTGTTTCGTCTAATGTATGACTCAAAGAGTAGTCTCTAAAGGACCTGGTTATAGCTATCCCATTTTGTCCACCAGTAAAGATTGGAACAAGTGGAGGTAAATCAGAATCGGAGAATTCATCATCTGAATAATCTGGATGTTCGATTTTAATTTTTGAATTAAGTTTTTTCATCACTTCATTACTAATCCTTCTACATCCCTTCAAACTAAGATATTTCAAATTAGTACAGTTGACAGCTATCTCCTTGATAGCTTCATTACCAATCAAGCAATCACCAAGCTCAAGATGTCTAAGTTTTGAGCATGAGCGAGTAATTTCAGTGATGCACCGATTAGTGAGGCATATACATGAATTAAGACTCAGATGTAATAGCTTTGGGCAATATCTTGCAATTTCTATAATTGGTATATTAGAGAAACCCTTACTTCTATCAAGAATAAGAAAGTGTATATCTGGGCATGAATGCAGGATTGCACTGATCAAAGCATCCGAGATTTTTAAACCTTCCAAACTAAGATATACTATCTTTGAAACAATAGTGTGGCTTTATCTTTCCACACATAACTCTTTTAAACTTCAATAATCGCCAATAAAGATCTCCAGATGAATTGTTATTATATGTGTTTCCTTGACAATCTATGAAAAAATCAATATCTCGCCATAGAATAGGAGCACCGCAGTGATACCAAAGGTGGTTGACGAATAAAGTAGGATAGAGTGCTTTATTCTCGGCTAAGAAACTGAATATGTTTTCAAGTAACTCTGGTAAATTAAAAATATTTAGACCCTTTTGGTCATTGCTTCGCAATAGTTGCGCCATTCTCAAGAATATATATTCTATATCTTTAATCGGAAAAAACAGCTAATGTTTGGATAATTAATTTTAGGCATATATACTATGGATTTTCTGGATATTCTCAATTACACTTAACCTCATAACTAGTTCCATCGAGCAATGTAAGAGTTTTATTTGGGAATTCCACTTTCATTGCATTATCTTTAAACCATGAGTTCCCTAACATCAGTACATGTTCAGGAATACTAACAACAAAAATATCAGTAACTTTTACTTGTTTCCATTTAGGGCCCTGAGACAATGGGGTAGTGGTGATTATGTCAATACAGAAACTTATCATCTCAAATGTTGGGGGCTTGTCAGAATTCAATCCAAATAGTAACTGTGAAAGCGTAGAATGACTTGGTATGGATATGATGCAAAGCATGATTTCTCGGTAAAAAATCAAACATTTATCTAGTATAATATATGGATGAAAATCACGTGTGCATTATAATTTGCGAACAAATTCTGGGACAAGCACCCCATCAGATGAACTTTT